TTCCAGGAATACTTTTATTTCTTTCTTAATTTCTCTTTTGACCCATTCATCATTCAGGAGTGTGTTGTTTAATCTCCATGTGTTCATGTGGTGATTAGGGCTTCTTCGGGTGTTGATTGTAAGCTTTAATACATTGCGGTCTGAAATAATGCATGGAATTATTTCAGTCTTTCTGTATTTGTTGAGGTTTGTTTTGTGCTCCTGTATATGGTTGATTTTGGAGAAGGTTCCATGGGGTGCTGCATAGAAAGTATGTCCTTTGGTGCTTCAGTGGAATACTCAGTAGATGTCTGTTAAGTCCATTTGATATATGGTATTGTTTAATTCAGATGTCTCTCTGTTAACTCTCTGCCCTGTTGATCTATCTAATGGAGACAGTGGGGTATTGAAGTCCCCTACTATTAATGAGATGGAATTAATCTGGGTCTTAAAGTCCTGTCATATTGTTTTTATGAAGTTGGGTGCACCAGAGTTTGGTGAATGTATGTTCACGATTGTAATATCTTCTTGATCTATTGTCCTTTTGATCAGAATTAAGTGGCCTTCTTTATCTCTTCTTATTAGTTTTAGTTTAAAGTCTATTTTGTCAGATATTAGAATTGCTATACCTGCTTTTTTCTTAGTACAATTTGATTGGCATATTTTTTTTTTTCCATCCTTTCACTTTAAGATAGTGTCTGCCCTTGATAGTGAGATGAGATGTACACAAAAAGATGGGTTTTGTTTCATAATCCATTCACCTAGTCTGTGTCTTTTGACTGAGGAGTTCAATCCTCTAATATTTAAAGTCATTAATGAAAGATGAGTATTGGATCCTGTCATTTTTATTTCTGTTTACATTCTTGATTATAGCTGTACTTTCCACAGTTATACCTTCATTGAATTTCTTTCCATAACCTCTTGGGTATAGTTGTTCCTTTCTTCAGCACTTTGCATTGCTTCCAGAACTCTCTGAAGGGCTGGTTTTGTGGATATAAATTCCTTCAGCCTATTTATGTCATGGAAGATTTTTCTTTCCCCTCAACTATAATAGACATTTTGGCTGGGTATAGTAATCTGGGTTGGCATCTGTGGTCATTTAAAACTGGGAACGCTTTGGTCCAGGCTCTTCTGGCTTTCATAGTTTACGCTGAAAAGTCAGCTGTAATCCTGATGGGTTTTTCTTTATATGCGACTTGTTGTTTCTCTTTTGCAGCTTTCAGTATTGTCTCTTTGTTTTGTACGTTTAGTGTTTTTACTATGATGTGCTGTGGAGAGTTTCTTTTCTGGTCCTGTCTGTTTGGCGTTCTATATGTTTCTTTTATTTGCATGTGCATGCCTTTCTTTAATTCTGGGAAATTTTCTTCCACGATTCTGTTGAAGATCGGGTCCATGCCATTATCTTGGGATTCTTCTCCTTCCTGTATGCCTATAGTTTGTAAGTTTTGTCTCTTTATGCTGTCACACAATTCCTGCATATTCCATTCTTGTGATTTCTTAAATTTTTCATAATCTTTTCTTGAGTGGTCTAGTTCATCCACTTTATCTTCCAGTCTTGATTCTCTGTTTTCCATTTCATTCATCCTATTAATGAGTCTTTCTCCTGTCGTTTCTAATTGGCTTAGTGAGTTTTTCTCCTCCTGCATTTCTGCCTGAGTATTCTTCAATATTTCTCTTTTCTGAATTCATTCAGAAGTTTATCCCTATCTTCCTTCAGTTCTTTGATTTCTTTGTTTGTGTGTTCTTTAAATTCACTGAATTCTTTTATCATGTTTATAATTGTTGAGTTCCATATCCGGCGTTATTTCTAGGGGGTTCTCATTGTACTCCTCTAGAGGACCATTGGTATTTGGTGGGGATATGTTATTTTGGTTTGTCATGTTGTTATTTTTTCTCTGTGATTTTGACATGTGAATTTCTTTTGTAGTTTCTGATTCTTGGGTAAGACTCAAGCCTTCAAGTTTAGGTCTGCTTCTTTTGGAACTTTATGTGTCTTTGTGGTTTACTCTTTGGGCATGAAAAGCTGGTTCCTCTAAGCTTCTGGTTCTCTTTTGATTTTATATTAGAGTGGCCAGATTGCTTTTGTCTTCAGGAGTTCCCGCGGGGGCCTAAGTCAGATGAGGATCAGATGCTCTCAGGCTTTCTCCTAAGGTCTGGATCCCTCCAGGAAAGATTTTGGCCTCAGGAATTTGGGGGTTTAACTGGCCTGGGAGCCAGGCCCAGGAAAGATGCTGGTCTAGGGCAGCTGGTGGCTGTGCCACCCAGAGATGCAAATGAAGATGGGGTGGGAACAGCCCCAAGGACTACTGGGGACTGCACTGAGGATTTGATTTGGTCTGGATGCAGCAGATCAGAAAGACGAAAGGTCAGCTCTGGTGCCCAGGTTAGAGGCTGGTGGGTTGTGCAGGCCCAGGGCAGTAGAGGGAGGTGAGGGCAGATCCAGACCCAGAAGCAGTGCTTCTGGGGACCCAAGAAGGAACTGAGTTGGTCTGGATGCAAAGGATCAGGAAGCAGTGGTGGTCTCCAGGTGTCTGGGGTGCCAAGACAAGGAATGGAACTAGGAGGCGAGATCGGCTGGGGAGATGATTCCTTTAATTCTTAAAAATAATTATAGTGAAGATGCTTTTAGAGAAGCTGTGACATTTTGAGATTTTTATGCATGTTTGTGAAAAAGAAAAAGGGAAAAAGATTTTAGTGGTAATACAAATGTTACATTTATATTCTCTTTTTATTATTTTTATTTTATGTCTATGATTGTATTGCCTGCATGTATGCAAGTGCATCCGTGCTGTGCAGTACCCATGGAAATCTGTAGAGGGCATTGGATCCTCAGGTACTGGAATTACTAGTGGTTGTTAGCCAGGATGTGGGTGCTGGGAATCAAACCTAGGTCCTCTATAAGAACAACCGGTGGTCTTAACTGCTGTGCCATCTCTCTTTAAGTTTCAGGTTTTGGTTGAAATAAAGAATTGGTTACCCATTTTTATTACTCATGTTATCATCGAATGCATTAGAAGATACTTTTACTTGTACTCTCAGGACAGAAGAGGTTGGAGAATCTGACCTAGAAAGACAGCTGTGTGTCCATAGAGGAGTGGAGCTGCTTAGCTAATTGGTGTTTGTTTCCACTACTGAAGGACAAAGACCTTCCTTCTGAAAGAGTGTTGAAGGAAACAAGAGCATATGTGTGTGACTTCAGTTTTTTTATGGATTTATCCTTTCATTTTCTTTTTAATGTTAACTTCTGTTATTCCAAGAGATGTAGTTTATATGAAATGATGGTATTTGTATTCCTTGCAGCTTGTGTTTCTAGGTAACACATGTGTAAATGAGACAAAAAGGATACATCATTTGTGTTTTTAGCTGCATGTATTTTTTCCACTGTCTCATTATGAAAAACTCTCTCTGTGTGTGTGTGTGTGTGTGTGTGTGTGTGTGTGTGTGTGTATGTAGATGCTAGAGGTCAACTTTGAGTGTTATTCCTCAGGTGCTGTCCACCTTATTTTTTGAGGCAGGGTCTCTCACTGTCCTTGGACCTTGCTGACAGCATTAGGTTGGCTGGCCATAGAGCCTCAGAGATCTGCCTGTCTCTGCCTCCCCAGTGCTGGGATTACAAATGTGTGCCATCCCGTCCAGTTTTCTTTATGAGTTCTGGGAATCAAGCTTGAGTTCATGCTTGCATGGCAAGTATTTTACAGAGAGCACTGTCTCCTCAGTTTCCAAGTGTCTTTATGATGGCAAACAGAGGGAATAGGTACATTCCATTTTAACTGCTGTTTTGTGACATGAAGATAATGTTGCTGTACCTTAAATATGTGGAAGGATGGGGCTTTTTTTTTTTTTTTTTGTATTTTATTTAGAAAGTGAAATTTGCTTTTTCCAGGTTGAAAGAAGATTTGTCTATTGCCTAAACGGATATTTGATTGTATAAATGCTTGATCAAAGAACAAGAGAATTAATCAGGAATTCTATAAAAGTATGAATGATTTTAAAATGTACTTCAATTTTGAAAACAAAAATCTTATAAATGGTTTTCTTTAGGTGCTAGAGAATCACTACACTGAGTCTCACGTGGAAACCAAGAGCGAGATGGAGAGCAACACGAAGGCTGACTGTCCAGTCACCAAAGCTCAGGGTGGGACTGAGGGAGGAAATGACCAGAATGAATTTGGTCCAAGCATCTTGAAGTAAGTTGGTACTTGTACCCTCTTTTTCGACTGCTGGTGTTTGGGCCTAAAGGGAAATTGAGCCCTTAGAAATAAAAGGAATGTGTCTTTCTTTGAACTAGAGAAGCAGGAAGAGAGTTTTCTGAAGCGATTTGACAGTTCACTGCAGATTATGTTTCTTCCTGGCTTGTAGAGGAGGGGCTAATTCATCCAAAAAGAATCCTTTATTATTTTAATTTACTTCTCACATCAGTGATAGTCAAATTAGTCTTTTCATCTGGTTTTATCTATGAGGCAAGAGAAGGAGCAATAATAGCTTTGAAAGCTCTTAGTCAATATTCTGTAACTGGATGAAATACCTGAGATAGCCACCTTACAGAGAAAGCATTCATTGTCCTGCTGTTTTGGAGGTCCACTCTGTAGTTGGTGGCCTTCCAGCTTTGGGCCTACGGTGAGAGCACATCATGATGGAAGTGCATGGTGGAGCAAAATGGCTCACTTCCTGGCCAGGAAGTCAAAGAAAAAAGAAGAGGACGGGGTCAAGTCCACCGTCTTCTTCAATGGTACATTCAGTGACTATGAACCCCCGCAGAGGCTCCACCTCGCATTAGTGCTGCCCTGTCACCTAAGCCTTGAATAATGGCCTTTGAGGGACGATCAGCATGCACATGATGACTGTCAAAGCATGGCGTTCCTTTGTGAGGATGCTAGCTTTAGATATTTTGAAATTAGTCTAGTGTTTTGAGGATATGAAAACTAGGATAGTCATTAATTGAACAACTTGTTATAGACATCATATGTATGAGAAATGTAAAAAACATAAAAAGACTAATATGAAAATGAAGTTTGCTCATTTTCTTTTTTAAAAATTTGTTCTTACTGAATTTTTTGTGTATTTCATACAGAACATCTCAAACAATCTTAATTTTCTTTATACCCTCATCCCCACTGGCACCCTCCCATAGCTCCCCGTCAGTGGAGCCCATATACTCTGTCATCCCTGTTAAGGCACACTGTGTCGTCAGCATCCCCAGCCGTTCGCCAGTGCAAGTCCATTCACTGAGGTCTAGTCAGCCTATCGAGAGTCCCCTTTTTTAGGAAGATCAGCTCTTCTTCACCTAGCAGCAATTAGTTGCCAATATTTCTTCAGATAAGAATGGGGTCTGCTGTTCATTTTCTTTTTTAAAAAACTGAGTTAAATGAAGGTAAGCTCTTTGTTTCAAGAATGGGTTGTAATTTTAGTTGCTACGTTTTTGCCAGTAGACTGCCAGCTGAAGCAGAGAACACTGAAGTAAAAGAAATTGGTGATGAGATTATTCCCATTACTCATAAAACTGACAAAGAATTTATAGATGCTGATGAGGATCTTTTAGAAGTAGAAACATTTACACAGGATGAAATGGATATGCACATATCAGACTGTGAAGGTCAGTTCATGTACATCATGTTTTTCTTTATTTGGCTTTATTAACTTAAACTTAATAACATCTAGAATAGCTCATTTAGTCTTAACTATGTTTACAATAGCCTAGAAGTAAAAGTTAAAAGAAAATGTGATACTTTAAAAAATACTGGGCATATTTATCTATAACCTGGTTTTCAAATAAAACCAAGAAGGTATAAGGCATTTAAATGTTAGCAACTTTCACAGTTGGACCTCTTGCCCTGCTCAAGTGGTGATTATGAGCCTCTTACTTCCTGTGAACCAACTTGGTAAGCCTCACCCTCACAGTCATCCTTAAAGCAGGAACCCTCAGAACATTACTTAGAGTTATATATATTGATACGGGGCCAAATCCTCTTGGATTTACTAGATAAAGAGGAAATTTTCTTGAGTTATTTAAAAAAAATTTTTATGTGGGGTTAGGAAATGTTTCTGTCATATTTGTTTCCTGTAATATTTCTAAACCTTGCAGGGGGGGAGATTGATTTTTTTTAAATGGTCAGCTTTCTCTTCATTTTGATTTACTCTAGAAGAACCAATTAGATGTCTCAAAAGTCCCAGTATTGCCAGTTGCAGACTGGATTCACAGCAGTTACAAGAAGTAAGTCAGTAACAAGCAGATAAGAATCTTCAATTTTTTTCTAGTACTTAAATTATGCCTACGTGTTTATCCCTTAATGAACTGTATTAAAGCCAGGCTGTTAGCTCCCATTGGTGCACGGATTGTAGACTACTTGCTGCATTTTTCTTTCACTGAAATTCTGCTACTACATGTCCAATAATTTCAGACAATGAAATTTTCCATTTCCTAAAGTACTTTAGCAAATTAATTGAGAGATGAAATTGTCCTTTATTATGAAGTACAATCAGTATAATTTGTGGTGTCTATGTATTTATTTAAAGATTCATAACCAGATTTCTAGGTGGAACATAGATATTTCCCATTATTTTAACATTTCTTTTAAAAAGCATTAATTTTATGGTATTTTTCTCAGGTTAATTAATGCTGATGGAGTGATAAATACATGAAATTGTAAAATCTCTTCACCTTGTCTTTCTGCCTTAGCATGCTAGTAGCTCATGAAGGCCAAAGCAATTCACATGGCAAAGGATCTGATCAGAGCGGCACAGGGACCTTTTAGGGTTCCGCTCGTCCCTTGCTTTTAGACTGCTGTTGCTCTGGGCCAGTGGTTAATACGAAATTCAAAACACCTGACACAGTAATGCCTGTTTGTTTCACCTCTTTTCATTGTGCACAACATTGGCTGTAACAGCATTCCATGGAAGAGGTTCAGTGTCCAAGGAAGGAAGCATTGCAGCCAAATCTGGAAGAAAACCTGACTGAGCAGAAAGGGTAAGGATTGTGTTTTGCAGCGGCTTTTTACCTCCCACGTAATATATAGTCTATATTTAGGCTGGTATTATAACTTTGAAATGATAGTAAATGAATTTTGGTATTATAGTTTTTTTGATGTTATACTTTTTATTTTATTTTTATTTTTATTTATTTATTTTAACATTTTATTTTATTTTTATTTTATGTGTATGTGTGTATTGCCTGCATGTAGGTAATGCACCTGTGTTGTTCAACACCCACGGAGGACAGAAGAGGCTGTCGGATCCCCTGGAACTGGAGTTAAATTGTTAGCTGCCATGTGGGTGCTGGGATTCAAACCCAGGTCTTCTGTAAGAACAGTCATTGTTCTTAACCACTGAGCTATCTCTTCAGCCTCTATGTTATACTTCTTATAGAAAGAAATAATTTCTTTGTTGCCTCTGTCCTATCATCACTATCAGCCATATCAGAATGAAATGTGACTGTAAATAGGCCAGAGTTCATTCATCTACTGCTGAGGGAACGGTCCACACTGATTCCACTTTTATTGCATTAAATATGACCTTTCACTATTGTGCTTTGGCTGTGGCAGTCTACCCTTTAGGGCTCTGACGTACCTACATTCTGCTGGAAGGGTATTATTGTTTCAGGGAGAGGTGAAAGCAGGCTTCATAAGTTTCAGTTCAAATATGATTTTATGTGTTTATTTTTAAACAGGGTCTCCTGTAGTCCCAGCTGGCCTGGAACTCACTATGTAGACTCAGCTGGTAGAGATCTGCCTACCTTTGCCTCCCAAGTGTTGGGTTTAAAGGTGTGTACCACCATGCCCAGCTGAATATGATTTTTTTTAATTTTTAGAATTTTAGAAACTTTAGAGGCTGTGGAGATAGTTTAGCCCATAAAGTGCTTGCTACCCAAGCATAAGAACCTGTGTTTGATCCTTAGCATATGTATAAAAAGCTGGGAATGGTGGTGTTCACTTATAATCCTAATGCTGGGGAGGCAGAACTAGACAGATCCTCAGGGCCACTGGACAGCCAGCCTAACCTATTTAGTAAGACTCATCTCAAAAAACAAGATGGAAAACTGTGGAATGACTGCCCAGGTTACTTTTGACCTCCACACACACCTACTCTCATATGAACACACACAAACCACACACACACACAGAATTTTGGAAAGTTTAGATTGCCTTGAATATTTTTTTTCTCAGTATACAATTTTTATTTTGAATAGTTATTGCAGATAATTTCTTTTCCCCTTGGGGTGCTATGGATTGTTCCTAGGATTTTACACATGCTGGACAAGCACTTTATAACTTTGACTTATATCTCCTGTCTACTAAAAAAATGAATTTAACAACATGTGCCATTGTAAGTATTAAAGATATTTCTAGTGATAAAAACTAGTCTTTAGAGGCTGGAGAGATGGTTCACCAGTTAAGAACACTGGTTGTTCTTGCAGAAGACCTGGCATGAATCCCAGCACCCACATGGCAGCTAACAACTGTCCGTAACTCCAGTTCCAGGGGATCCGACGGCCTCTTCTGTCTTCTGAGGGCATTGCACTACATGGGTGCACTTACCTACATGCAGGCAATACACGTATGCACATAAAATAAAAATAATAAATAAAATTTTTAAAAAACCAAAAACAACTAGTCTTTACAGTTTCAATGAATCGGTGAGATTCTTCAGTGTTCTGAGCAGTGTTCATATATTCCATAGGACTTTGGATCATAACTAACTTCAAATCCTCTCATTTTAGATTCTGTTGTTTTTGTTGCTGAGCACTCAGTGGCATTCAAATTGTAGGCAATGTTTGTTTTGTTTAAATCTATGACTAATTGCTACGGAAACAAATGCAAACAGATTGTGATTATGAGCTAAGCATTACAGAGTTGTTAGAGGATTGGATTCTTAACTGGCTGAGCAGTAGTGTACCTGTATTTAGATAATATAAAGAATATCTTGCTCCTAATCACTTACTAATTTTTTGTTTGTAGTATGATTGAAGCCTTGTCAAATTCTGGAAATACCACTCCTCATTCACTTTGTATAGATGCAAACTCAGAAACTTCTAGGTAAGAATTCTTATCTACTATAACATTTTTAAATAATCATGTTTTGGGCTGGAGAGATGGCTCAGTGGTTAAGAACACTGGTTGTTCTTGCAGAGGACCCAGGTTCGAATCCCAGCACCCACATGGCAGCTAACAACTGTCTGTAACTCCAGTTCCAAGGGATCTGATGGCCTCTTCTGTCTTCCGAGGACATTGCATGACACGGGTGCGCTTACCTACATGCAGGCAATACACTCATACACATAAAAATAATAAATAAAATATTTTTTAAAAGATTTAATTAAAATAATCATGTTTTAAAAATAATAAGCTGGGCGTGGTGGTACACACCTTTAATCCCAAGCACTCGGAGGTAGATCTCTGTGAATTCAAGGCCAGCCTGGGCTATATAGTGGGTTCCAGGCCAACTGGGCCTACAGGGAAACCCTGTCTCAAAAAGACCAAAAAAAAAGAAAAAAAGAGTAAATCGATGCCTCCCCTGCAAATCTGGAGTAATTGCTACGTTTGTATTAAAAACTATGGGGCACTGTTTTGTCTCCCATAAAACTGTTTTGATATCTCAGTTAATTATTAAGATTTTCCTATGCCAGTTGTTTTAATGACGTAGAACTGTTGGGACAATCGTTTCAGGAAAAAAAGAAAAAAACAGTAATATATTGTTCAAAGATTTTTGCTCCTTTTAGCTAATGACTCCTAATAGCATGTCAAATATTTCTGATTCTTTTTAGTATTATTTCTTCTTCATTGCACTGTTGGGGATTGAAGCTGGAGCCTTCTTTCTGTAGGCTAGACAGTGCTCTCCCACTGAACTATGTTCTCCTAGCCCAGTACTCAACCCATATGAGATAAGGGTGTTCTGTAGATATAATTCTCTTTAGCTTTATCCAGTGTGTCTTTTGAATTTCCTCTATAAAGGTTAAAGAGTATTTTGAAATTTTTCTGAATTAGGAAGGAAATTTAGCACAACTTTACTATAGATAAAATTCACATGATTAGAGTCAATCTTGTTAGCTGTTGAAAGTAAAGCCCAATAAAGCTGTCTTAAAATTGCCCCATCAGTTGTGATAGCTGTGTTTTCATGGATTTATCTGATGAATAGTTTTGCTTTTAAGTATATTTTGGTTGCTCAATAAAGAGATAGTACTAGTGCTAAAAGAGGAAATGAATGTAAATTCAAATCTATGTGCAACTTGATATGTGTGTTCTTTCTGGAAACAATGACTAGTTTATTTGAATATTTAATTACCTATTCTCCTATTTAGTTTATGAAATTTATTTGCTTAGAAAACATTGGCTACTTGATATGTTTACAAATTTGTTCCCCAAAAATTGCTTGTGACTGGTGACCCATTAATAAGGAACTTTATTCTTGGAGTAGTTTAACCAGGAGCGTGCCCGATCTTGTTCTGAGGTGTTCTGATTTCTTCCAGAACTGAACTCTATTCTTCTAGTCTAGTCTACGCTGCTCTACTTCTCCCTAACTAAGGGTTCCTCTCTTATTTATTGAACAGCATGTCAACCATGGTATGACAAAGGCATGAACAATCTTTGATAGCAGGTTTACAAAGGAGATTGTTTTCTGACCCTGCTGACTCAGAGCTGCACCCAGGACCACAGACAGATGTCATCAACCTATGCCCCCATGCTGCTTGCAACATCTGTGGGCGAGATGTTGTCTGTAACGTAGTTGTTGTTTTCAATGTCATCACTCTCACATCTCTCACACACATACATTGTTCTGAGTCAGGGACATAACTGAGTCACAAATAGGGAACATGGTATAAGTTTAAAGCTATGCATTCATTCAGCTTAGCCTTTAAGAGTTAGTTACATCGGGATTCAAAACCATTATAGGACTGATTGATTACATTTTTTTTGTTTTGTTTTAAGTCTTGCTCATTAAAATCATCCCTCTACCCCCAAATTTTTTTTTAAAAAAACTTGCTTTGGTCTTTAATTTTTAGTTTTAAATAAGCACTTATGTCATGGTTTGTTATAAATGGAAACTGATTTCTTTGGGAATGAAATGCTCACAGTTCCATGGCTTGATGCTTAATAAGGATCAGCAGTCTTCCACACCATTGATTCTAGAATTAAACAGCTTACTCTCTCTTTTCTCTTAACTCTATTCTCTATCACTAATTTTAGTCAGAATTTTTTCCCTAAATCTGTATAGTTAATAAGATTGATTGTACAGTTCTCAAAGTCAGGTGCCTTCAGGGACCAGGGCTGGACTGTTCTGGGCTGTAATACCACATACTGGACAGAACATGCCCTTATACAGACTTCTAGATGATGGGTACTACAGAACTCCTGAAAAGCACCTGAGTAACCCTGAAATCCAAAGAAAAAGTAGTATATAAATATTTAGATCATAGGCATTCAGTTTTTTTTTTTTGATTAATGTGGTTTTTTTTTTTATTTAAATGCTTCTCCATAGTACACGTATTTCTGAATTTAAAGATATGTCTTCCTTGGTTCCACCTCTTGTGTCAAATGGAGTCAATGTTGCGTCACAAACCCCTGTTCCAACACCTCAGCAGACTCAGAGAAATGAACACAGTGTTCGGTTACCAGATTCTTCTGATTCTGTTAGGCACATGCTTCAAGATGAAATGTTTAAGTTAGTTCAGGTGAGTACATCGCTAGGTAAGTAAATCGACACATGATATATAGTTTAAAATTAGAAAACATCTAGAAATGGACTAGTCAAAATCTAATTGTGTGTATTTCTCTGCTTTGAAGGGTTGTTATAGGTCATTCAAAGGTTCCTACCTCTGAGACCTGTAGTCTAGGCTCATTTGCCTTCATCTGACAGTGGTCTCTTTTTGCTGGGCTCTTTGGATTAGATGGGGGTAGATCAAATCAGACCAGAGAAAAGCACCCAGAATTTATTCTCCTACACAGATTATCAGATTTATTACCCACAGGCCAAATTTTGTCTCAGGGTGAAAGTGTCTGCTACATTTCAAATGATTGTCACCTTGACTTCCATTATTGTTTTCTCACCTCAGCACCCTTTTTCTTGGTCTACCAATAATTTTTAATTATTTTACTATCTTTTTAAAAACTTTTTAATATTTATTTTTTATTTTATTTCATTTTATGTGTATGAGTGTATTGCCTGCATGTAGGTAAGCGCACCCGTGTTGCACAACACCCGCAGAGGCCATCGGATCCCCTGGAACTGGAGTTACAGACAATTGTTAGCTGCCGTGTGGGTGTTGGGATTTGAGCCTAGATCTTCTGCAAGAACAACCCGTGTTCTTAACTGCTGATCCATCTCTCCAGCCCCACTTTTTAAAATTTTTATTTTTAATTTGTAATTGTGTATATGTGTTTGTGTGTGTGTGTGTGTGTGTGTGTGTGTGTGTGTGTGTGTATGTGCACATGAATACAGTTGCTTGTGGAGGCCAAAAGAGGGTGTTAGAGAAGCTGGGGTTACAGGCAGTTGTGAGATGCTCAGTATAGGTTCTGGGAAACTAACTTAGGTCCTCTGCAAGAGCAATACACACTCTTAATTGCTGAGCTATCTCCTCAGCCCTTCTTTTTTTTTACTTTTAAAACATTAATTTCTGTCGTACCTCATTTCTCTGTTCACCTCTATATTTTTATATGTGATTATTATATTGTTTTTGTATTAATGATTTTGGGCACTAATTTTTTCTTTAAACTCAGGAGTCCTGATGAGAATACTTTTTCAGCATGTATTGTCCCACGAAACTAACTTTATCCCTTTTCTCCCCAGTTCCTTCTGACCCCTCACTGCTTAGTAATGCACCTGTCTACCACCTTAAAGTTTTAGAAGTCTTTCCCAAGCTCTTTTATGGATTACCTGGGGGTCTACCTGGTCAGTTCCATATGTTTAACAAGTTCTCCTCCTAGTTCTCATGTGCCTGCAGGACGAGTCACTAAGAATGCTGTTTGCCTTCTTTTATTACCTACATTCAGAGTTCCACTATGCCTTCTTCTCTTGCTTCCCTTCTCATTCTTTTCTGTTGTTGTTTTCGAGAAGGTTCTTCACTTCGGTAGGCCTTCTTGGTTCTTTGGCCCACACTGTAGTCACTGTAGTCTCTTGTTATTTTTTTTTAGCTCTAGTCAACCTTAGATTCTCTCTCTCCTCTCTCTCTCTCTTTCTCTCTCTCTCTCTCTCTCTCTCTCTCTCGAGCATATTATTGATGCTATTATCCTTAGATAATATTATTGATGCTATATATAGAGAGCATATTATTGATGCTATTATCCTTAGAGACAGGATGATAAATGTTATTTTCTTCAAACTTTTTAAGTGTGCATACCATTTCATCAGATATGTTCTTTTTTAGGGTCTCTATTTTTCTTATAATTTGTGCCTATTTCTTCTTTTTAAAAACTATATGTATGCATTTATTTATTTGTGAGGTAGGCACTTTCCACTGTGTGCATGTGGAAGTCAAAGGACAACTTGCAAGAGTTGATTGTCACCTTCCACAATGTTGATCCCAGGGATCAAATTCAGATTTTCAGTCAGGCTTAGCAGCAAGTACCCCTACCTGTAGAACCATTTAGGCAGCCCACATGCTCTCTTTTTTTTCCTCCTCTTCCTTTTCTTACTCTTCCTCTTCCTCTTCTCCATCTCTTCCTCCTCTTCCTCTTTTATATTGAGGATCAAACTCAGGGTCTTGTGTCTGCCTGGCAAGCTCTCTACCATTGAGTTACAGCCCCAGTCTATGTATTTATTTTTATAATTGGAGGGAATCTACATTTAGAAAACATGCAGTGTTTCCCCATTACTTTATTTTATCAAGTATAAATTCCTCTGTTGGTCTAGAAAACTTCACTACAAACTCCCTTTATCGTCTCTCTTTCTACCATAATCTTGCAAGTCCTGTGTTTCTCATAGCTGATCCCTGGGGCCATAGCATGAATGCCACTTAGATTTTAGAAATGCACATTTATTCTCAGGCTTTCAGCGTAGACTTACTGAGTCAGAAACTGTGGGGGATGACCTGCGCAAAGAGTGCTTTAGTGAGCCTTTAGGCCATTCTTATGCATGCTTCATTTTGAGAACTATGCACACTAGCCACTTCTAAGTACACCTGTAATCTGTCTCTTGTTCCAGCCCAGCCCACACAAATGTTAATAGTTGTCACGCTCTTCTGCACATAGAAATCACCTTGCTACTTTTTTTTTTCCTTTTGTTCTTTTTGAGACAGGATCTCCTTGTGTGGGGCTATCCTGAACTATGTAGACCAGAGTGGCCCAGAATTCACAGACGTCTGCCTCCCTCTGCCTCCCAAGTGTTGGGATTAAAGGCATGTGCCACCATGCCCAGCTGGTTTTGGTTTTTTGAGACAGGGTCTCATGTAGCCCTGGCTGTCCTAGAACTCAGTATGTAGACCAGACTGACCTCAAATTCAGAGATACACCTGGCTCTGGTCATCTCAACACGTACTCATCCTGCTTCCATCTTCAGACTTCTACTGTTTTGGTTTTACCTGATCATTGGAATTTTTAATGCCAATCAGATGAGTCTCGTGTTGGCAAAGTTTGGGAACCCCTGGTGGGACCTTCCCTGTTCACTTAGTCAGTCCTCCAAGGGAATTCTTTACTTTTCACCTGTGTTTTACTCTCCTCTTTTCTTTCCTGAAAACTTGTTCAAAACATGCTCATTCTGGATATTTTTATTTTATTATCCTCAACTTGCTCCATCAGATTACCCCTGTATGACGCCTGGGCATTTTATGTAAGTTAGATAGTCCCTGTCATTCATGAGATAGTGCTCATGTCCCAAGGAAATTCTACTTTTCTTTTTTTTTAAAAAAAACTTTTATTTATTATTGTTTATGTGTTTGAGTGTATTGCCTGCATGTGTTTAAGTGCACCTGTGTTGTGCTTGGGTCCTCTGCAAGAGCAGTCAATGCCCTTAACCGCTGAGCCATCTCTCTAGCCCCCTACTTTTCTTTTAAAAAACAAAACAAAAAAACCCTCCTGGCCTGGCTTTCTGCTCAAGATTTGGGTGTATGATAGATACTGAGACAAAAATCTCAGTACTCAAGTGTCTCTTGCTAATACCTTAGATTCTTTTAATTCTGTTTTTAAGATACGTCTTTTTTGTTTTGTTCTAGCTGCAGCAGATCAATTTCCTGAGCCTAATGCAAATAGTAGGCTCATCCTTCGCTAATCTCCCAGATATGCATCAACTTCTCCAGCAGGCTCAATCTGTGCATTTGGGGGAAAGCCAAATGCACAGGATCCCCACAAGAGGGAGTGATTATGTTGAAGTCAACAGCAGTCAGAGAATTTTCACTGAGCCACAATCCATGAGACAGTGCAGTAGGGAGCCTGGCAAGAACAGCCTGCAGGGCCATGAAGGAATCAGCCAGCCTGACCAAGATAGTGATGTATATTTACAGGTAATGCATACAAAGAAACCATTAGGACTGGAGAGATAGCTCACTTAGTACTTGGAGACCTGAGTTCAAAAAGTCGGGCATAGAGGCTGGAGAGATGGCACTGGCTGCTCTTGCAGGGGACCCAGGTTTGGTTCCCAGTACCTACATAGTGGCTAATATCCATCCTTAACTCCAGTTTCAGGTGATCCAGCACCCTCTGCCAGCCCTGGTGGGCACCAGGCACGAATATGATGCACCTACATACATGTAGGCAAAACACTCAAACACGTAAAATAAAAATAAATAAAAATTTTTTTAAAAAGGTCAGATATGGTGGTGCCTTCTTGAAATCCCAGCACTGGGGAGGTAGAGACAGGCAGATATTTGGGTCTCACTGGCCAGCTAGCTTAGCCTATTTGGTGAGTTCAAGATCCTTAAGAGACCCTGTCTTGAAAAAAAAATGGTGGATGGTGCCTGAAATGTGATACCTAAGGTTTCCTACAGCCTCCACATGCACTACCCATGCACATGCACCCACACACCTGCTATTGTAGTGTCATTTCTGCTTCTGTGATACAGTGCTGCAACAAAGAGCAGTTTAGGGGAGAAACAGTTTTAGCTTACAGTTCCAGGCTGCAGTCCCTCATTGCAGGGACGTCAAGGCAGCAGAACTTGAAGCGTCTGGTCACATCACGTTCACAGTCAGGAGCAGAGAGTGATGAATGAATGCTGACTCTGCCTGCCTGCATGTGCTCAGCTGTCTTCACTCATATAGATCAGGTGCCTGCTAGGGAATGGTGCCCTTGCTGGACTAGGTCCCCCACAGACATACTCCTAGGCAACCCAATATAAACAGTCTCTCATTGAGACTCTTCTCAGATGATACTGGGTTGTGTCAAGTTGACAGTTAAAGCCATCTCTCTCTC